ACACTGCCGCTGCACCAACGCTGCAGCACCCATAGCCCATAAATCACGCCATTCGCTAGTGCTAAGCGTGCAAGTCGCGCTTGTGAGATAAAAGTGCAAATTGTTCGATTTGCATCGTAAAAAATGCCAGGCGGCAACCCTATCAAAAGTTGCCACAGCCTCTGCCACATCGGCCACCATTGCAAGCATTGCCACTCCTGCAACGGCAGCTGCAATCATTGGGAACTGCAAAAGGGTGTGGCTGGCTCTGCGGTTTTAGGGAATTTTATCTGAGCAAAGTTTTTTTTTCGACAGATCTCGATTCATGTTGGTGGCGAGGGCAAAACCCTCATGGAATTGAGATTCAGTGGAGCTTTAATATAGACATTTCTCTGCATCTGCGAGGCGATTCACTTGATATCAATGCTTAATGTTTATGTTTAATTATCAATCCGATTCAGTTGCATATTTTATTCCGGCTATGTTATGGCAGAAAATACGCAAGCTTAAGCTCCTTAAATAATCTTTGCCAACAGTTTAAGGGCAGATTACTGATGTTTCAGATTTTGTTTCATAATGTGGAATCGATTGATAAACGATGGAATATGCTGGTTGGGTGGCGGCACATCAATTTACATAGCTAATGCGCTCTTTTTACACGCGTTAAAATATTTAACAGATTAATGCACGTTTCATATTGCATAAATAATCCACAATTTAATTACGACTCCGGCAGTTCCCTGGTATACCTGCAGACTCAACTGCCACGCAATCAGAGATATTTTTACATAAATATCCCCCCAAGCATATATGTATGTATGTATATTCCCCTGATCGCATTGCTCTTGCATAAGCATTTATTACGGCTCAGTAAGTCCGGACCAATGCAGCTGGCAGCCCGAGGCCGTCGGAGTCCCAGTTAATTGACATCACGCCCAGCGGCCCAGAGTGGGTTTTTGGCATTTTAATTTCGTTGTAATATCGAATGTTGGTAATAAGCCATGCATTCCGGCACGGCCCTGCCGGCAAGCCCCTGCCTGTTGGCCCGATAAGACTGCGATTTGTGTGTGTGGACTGGAGCGTGGATACCATTCCAAAATTAAGCGCCATAAAATTGCATTTTTTCCCCCTGCTGCCCAACGCTCGCCATCAGCGATCAGCAAAAGCTATAAAAAATATGTATGTATGTATGTATAGGTAATGTATAAGCTATGCGGCATGGGGATGAGTGGGAAGGAAGTAAAAAGTAAGCCAAATCAAAAATCATAAATAAAACATGGAAGAAATGCTCCGCGTAGCATAGACCAGAAATTTACCCTGTAGTCCGGATCATCTCAATCACACAATGACAATTAGTCAGGCATGGCATACGCACAACCTAGAGTATATACTCTGCTCTGTAATGAATGCGCTGTCTCTCTCTCTCTCTCTCTCTTTTAAAGATTTGTATGTATGTATTTCTCCCGCTCTCGGAAGCTTCTGCCAGCATGCATCGAATCGAGATCAATCTGTTGATAAGATGTTGGAAGCAACCGAATAAAGAGGACAGGAAGTTTTTCAGCTAGTCTCGACCACACAATGACCCAATCCTTTCGTCTCATTACTGCTTTTATTTCACCACCAAGCCGCTTTCGTTTCATAATTTATATTCGGAGAAGACTTTGACCTTTTCATGGCCGTCCAGACAGTATCGTACACACAAAACAATCAGACCTCGTGGTGTACCCTAGGAATAGCAAAAAAAAAACCTGTGCGCCAGTTTAAACACCCGCTTGACGCTGCTTATCAGCGGCGACCATTTGGACACGGATACAGACCCAGAGGTGGACGATGGAATGGGCTTAAAAAAAAAAGTGTAACAAATTTCGGTTGAAACCGGAGCGCGCAAGTTTATTATTTATTTTGGCGCGAAGTTTACGAGCTCACGGCTCAGTACCGGGTCGGTTCGAACGGGGGGAGGGTTGACAATGGGGAGGGGGCTAGCAACCAATATATTTTATGACAGGGCCCAGGTCCCCGCTCCACTTCGGCTTAGGGGTAGATGGCAATGGCCAGCCAAAACAAAAAGAAACAAAAAAAAATTAAATTTATTTTTTCACGCACCAATAATCACAAAGCGCCGCGTAATCAAATTTATTGAAAAATGAAAGCCATAAAAAGTGGCGCAAATACGTGGCAGCCAAAAATTTGCTGGAAAACGGGAAATCGAGAGAGTCTAGCCAGAGGCTACATTGCACAGAGTTTGTCTATAGCTCGAATATGATATTCGTACACCCCACTAATCACAGTCTCGTTATCCATATATGTGTAGTACATATGTACATACATATGTGTGTATATATATACACTTGTATGCGTGGGGGCTCTCTGCACATTTCAGAACTATATATTCATAGTTTTAAGCAATCCAATTTCGTGTCATGCACTCCACAGCTGCTCTCAAAATATTATTCCACTGAAAGAGAAGAGAGCAAGAACACATCCATAAATAGTTTGGGGCAGTGGCATTGGGCATTGATACGATACGCATTGGCAGGATATAATGTGCATGGATGTGGCATGGCATTGGTATGTGCTTTGATATGGCCATCTGCATTAATGAATTTGATTTTGAATTTGAATTGCCAGCCAATAATCGTATTGATTCAGGCTAATTAATTTGATTACTTTCAACGTTTAATTAGCCAAATTGGCATTTACAAAATGCCTCATTTAACCATAAATTATATAATTTTAATGTGACGCTAGCGGGAAAGGGAAGCGCGAAGGACGACATAACATTATGAAAAGAATGAAGACTGGTGTCTGTAGAGAGCCGGAAAGTTTCAAAATATCACTATTATCCCTTTTTTCTTTGTTCAGGAGTTATTACATGCAAGACTCGTAATACTTTCACGTCAATATTTCATTTTTGAGTGTCAGTCCCCCTATACAGGAAATTAAAGAATCTATGCATCAAAGCTTATTTTAAACAAAAACTTGCTGCCAGTTTGAGCGTAATTCTACACAGAGAACTATGTACCTTCATACTAAGCTTGTTTTAAAGAGAAAAGCATAAAAATATTTACCCTTAGAGCCAGCTCCTTTGCTCTATATTTTCCAGGACAGGACGACCAAACTTTCTGCTAACAACACTATAAAACGTAGAACTTTTCACACATAACTTTAAAGCATTTCGTTGTTGCTTATGTTTTTGTTTTCGAGTTATTTTGGTGTTGCTGATTTTGTTGCTGGTTGGGTTGGTTGTGCTGTCGGCTGTTTGCTTTCCAGCATTTTGTATAATTGCTGACGCTTTGCTTTCAGCATTCACCTTACTGAAATGACCCATGCCCAGCTCTGCCCTTTCGCGGTGTGTGTGTGTGTGGCACGAGGCTCACGTATAATGGCGTATAGTGGTATTCTTTTGTGGCTCTTAATATTCGCTGGAAACGCTGCCATCGCTGACCCGTACCCCTTGCCGGTCTCTCCTCCGGCTGGCCCTCAAAGTGAATATAAGCAAAGATTTAGCACTTTTATTATTACGCTCGAGTTAAGTAGCAAACTATGTTGAAAGTTTCCGACGCCCCACATTATCAGCAGCAGCGTACCGCGAAACGTGGCGTGGGGTGGTCGGGGTGGTCGGGTGCCGCTGTTGTGCTTGGCTGCTTCAGTGGTTTGTGAAACTCGCCAAAGGAATACAGAACAAACACTCTTCTCCCCTGTCTCACTCTCGCACTGGCTGTTTCTTTTTTTTCTACTCTTCAAAGAGGCTATCATCACTTTGTTAAGCAGTATATTTGTATATATGTATGTATTGAGTCAAAATGTGACATAAAATGGGACTTCTACTTAAGGTGCAGGAAGGGTATGAGACGCTTCGCATAATTGTGGCTGCTCTTTCATTCTTGCCTCATGTTTGTTGTTGCTCTTTTTTCTGCTGCTGGTGCTGCTGCTGCTGCTGCTGTCGGCATCGTTGTCGTCATCATAGTTGTCGTCCGTGTTGCCGTGTTCGTTACGCTCTCCCTCCGCTATCTTTGCGGCCCACCCATTCTCATTCCCGTTGTTGCAGCAGTTTGTTTAGTTTTGTGCAAAAGTTTTCAGCTGCGCTTGGGTGGCTTCATAAATTTTTAAATAATCAGCCAGTGGATACCACGTGCGTCGCGTGGAGTGTGGACAGAAGGAGCACCCCAGCAATGCGCTTTAAGAGAGAAAGAAAGAGAGAAGAGAAAGAGCTTGAAAAGTCAACAGGAGAGTCAGCCTTTCTATGGCAGAAATACCAAATAGTGGCTTCTTGCGGCTAAGAATTCAATATTGCTTTTCATTTGCTCTCCCGGCAGGAACAACGATTGGTACGAGTACTCGGGTATGTTTGTTGCCGAAGTAATTTAGTGGAACAATGTTGTAGTCAGAGGTATTTCGGTTTCATCCCCAATAAACAATATCCAAGCAAAGTCTGACGCCAAGATAATCACACATCACGTATACGCCATGTATACCACAGACAGACACACACACACACACACACACACAATGGGATGTGGATGGTACTCCTCTGTCATTGTTTGCCGTCAGGCAATAAAATCACACGTAACAAAACGATAATAAAATTGTACGGCTGCGAGTAAAGACAACGACAACCCCAAGCCAAACTGTAATTTTCAGGCAACGGCGCCATTTTCTTGTAAGCGACCCCAGCAGCATCGCCAGAAGTGGAGTCAAATGTAGAGCCCCGAGCAGAGTGTCGGCCATATGTTGTTTGTGTCTGCCGGCTAGGTGACGCATCGCATCGCTGGACCGAATAATGGCAACGCTAACGGTAAGTGTAGCTCTAACTATAACTGTAACTATAACTGTATGTAGGTGTCCATCTCTCTCTCTCTCTCGATGCCTTGGTGCCTGCCTGCACTTTGTTTTGTTGTAATATCTGGCTTGTTGGCCGGCATATCACGACTGCGGCCAATAACAAATCAAGCATAATTGATATTCAGAAATGAGTGCACATGTTCACGCTAGGTCAAAGGCTATCTCTGGATCACTGTTACTGTTTATGCAAGGATAAGTTTAATGTCCAAAAGCGAATGTTAAACCTTAGCTGAAGCTCAAGCATTAAATTGAATCTGTTGAGCTTATCCTTTAAGAAAGAATATATGCACGAATACAACAGGTATTAGGCCATTAATCTGGATACTGCACTGAAAACAATCGTGCATGAGTACAGGAATTGTAGATTCTCTTCCCAAAAGGTTCCTTAACATCATACTGATGCCACGGTCAGCGCTGTTTTCTCACGTTCTGTAATAAGATGAAGAAATTAAATCATAAATAAAACATTAGGCCTAAACCGACGTTCTTACCCAGCATACTAAGGCGATGCATCAATTCCGCGTAGGTCTTTCGCAGCTTGCCGACAATCAGACGCCTGCCCTCGACTTCCTCCAAGCACTTGTCGTACTCGTACATTAGGGCTGGCTGGAACAGTAGGCCGCCCTTGGCCTGGAGTCGGGCGTGGGTGGTCTTGATCTTCAGGCGCTTTGCTTGGATAACGCTCAAATGGTGACGCAACTCGTTCAGCCTCTCGCCCTTCTCATCCAGTACCTCCTTCGCCAAATCCAGGGATTCTGCGATCATGGTGCGCTTCTCGCGGATGCATGTCTTTTCGATCAGGAACTTCTTGTAGTTCGCCTGCATGGCCAGCACTTCTTTGGTGCGATCTACGGGTGACACAATATATGACGATATATGGCAGTTATCTGGCCCTTTTCCATGTAATACCTACCCTCAAGTCGTTTGTCCAAATGTATTATATTGTCAGTGGCATTTTGCACTTGAGATGTCGTTAAATCGTCTGTAATTCTTTCCACCAGTCGCATTTTCTGCCCGAAAAGAAACAAACAATAAAAAAAAAATGGACAGAAGAGAGGTTTCTCGCACTTACCTCCGCCATGACGGCCAGGGAGCGTAGATTCAGATTGAGTTCGTAGCGCTTCTCGCTGATCTCGTTGCGCAGGTTTTCCATGCGCCGCAGTTCGGCATCCAAGAGACGCCGCATCCGCTCAGAGTCCTGGCGAAGCAAGTTCTTCCGCATGCAGGTCTCCAGATTCTCCGTCACAAACTTCGACAAGGTGTAGCAGGCATGCAGCTCCAGCTGGGCGCGTGAAATGACATAACTACCATTCCTCTTTATGATCGACGAACGCTCCATCAGGTTATCGACCAGGTTTAGAGCCGCTATATATCGGCGGCCTTCGATGGCCTCCACATGTGGTGGCAGGGCGGCGTACTTGTCCGGCTTTCTGTTGCGCTTGTAGTGCTCCCCCATCTTGTTGTTGAGAAGGCTATTGGTGGACCTCTCCACGATGAACAGGTGCACCAGACGCTCAATCTCCACCAGCATTTTACCCTTGTCGAACAGCTTCGCTCTGGCCCCAATTTCGGATATTTGCACCGCCCGATTGATCAGACTATCGAGGAAATCGCTTGTCATCTTTTTAACAAGGATCATTGCGGCTAGCTTGGGATCAACCACTTCTTTGCCATCATCGTCGCTTTCCGATTCGATGTAGATCTGGGCCATGATATCGATGTCGTCTTGTATAGCCAGCTCCTTGTGGACTGGTTCAGGTTCCTCAATCAGGCTGCCCAGGAACGATGTCTGTGACAGTTCTTCTGGCTCTTCCTCCTCTTCGCCCATCAATTGGACCGCAGAGCGCACCGACGAATCACTGAGAGTCCTCGCTGAGGAAGATGAGCCCGAATAGCGGTCAACGGAGTGCACAAATCTACCGGGATCCACGGAAACCCGCTCAGGTGCGGCGGATGGACGAATCTCAATCTCAACCGTGGAGCTGTTCTCGGATATGTCGCTTAGTGAGGGCAAACTCTCGAATTCCCTGAGAAATGCGCCCATGAAGGAAGCTTCGGCCGGACCCCGTGGATCCTCCAGGTCCGAGAGAGACTCGCCCAGAGAGGATTTGATGCTGATTTTTTCGTCTAGAAACTCCATTCGCTCCGCCCATTCTTCATCATTGGAAACGCGCCCATGCATGTCCACTGAATCGTCAGAGTGGTGCTCCTGCTCATCATCCTCCTTCTCGTCTGGTTCCTTCTCCTCACCCTCCATCCCAGCCTCCTCGGGCCACTCGGAGCCTTCTTCGGGGGCTGCCTCTGCGGGCTCCCCTTTAATTCTCTTAAGCATCATTTTGGCCTTCTCACGCTTCTGTCTCTTGTGCTCGTCGGCGACCCTCTGAAGCTCCGTCATTCGGACGCTTGCGGGTGGTTGAGGATCGGTCTCTTCGCCTTCGGTTTGCTTTGTATCCGTCTCATCACCTTCGGGTGGATTCACATCCGTTTTCTCGCTTTCGGACGGATGCATTTCCATGTTCTCTCCTTCTTGCGGGCTGATGTCCGTCTTCTGTTCTACGGCTGGGTGTGGGACCTCTCCTGCTTTGGCGGTCTCGGGGGGCCCACCAGCCGCTGGCTGCTCCCCTTCCACCTCCTTTAATAAGGGTGGAGCATCATCAGGCTTTGACTGAATACCTCCTGTTTCTCCGGATTCCTTCACATCGGTTTCTTCCTTGGTCGGAATAGGTATGGGATCCTCTTGCGGCATGGAAGCAGCTTCGTTGGCTGCAGTCTCTTCCATTACTGTGTCTGTCGGTTGGATATATTCTAGAAAAATATATTTACCTACGTATGTTATGATGTTTCAGTAGGTACTAATATTTTAGTTATGTTATTTGCTCAATGACTTGTGTCGGATGACTTATGAGCCTACTGGAATGTGCAGTAATTGAATACCTACCTGCACCTATTTATGTCAGTTGAGATATTTCTTATTCTATTTTTTTTATTGGTCAGACCTTAAACATACTGCTTAGGCAGCAGTCTGTAGCCGCTCCGGCTTACATTTCTGTTAGCGTTCTCTGACAAGACTCGCGCTCCCGCTCTACTGAACCCTGGCTTGAATAATTCGCATTACTAGCTTCTTGTAAACGGACGGCATTTTCGCATCGTGAATAAAGCAACACACACATATGGAGAATAACCCTGGAAGTTGGATTATTCTTTTCTTCGTGCTTATCCTCTGTAGGACCATCATCAGATACGCCCTCCTACACAAACACAAACTAATGACTCCGATGATGACTCCAAATAAAAAAATTTTTTTATTGTCTGAATTAAAACCAATTTCTCTCTTCAAACATATCGGATTTATCTCTCTTTTAAATTTAAATAAAAGGCTTAAATAAATGCATAGCTAACGAACGGACGGGCAATTATTAAAACAAGCTTTTTCATTCCACAATTGCAGACAGAATTCATTATTTTTTTTCGCAACAATCCATGGACAAGTGAGACAACACTCGTACTCCTACCGGTTAAATAAACAACTAAGAAAAAATAACACACTGAATGCAAGCCAAACAATCTTCAGGGCATTAACCTTTTGACATGGAGTCCCGAGCATGGACATGGACATGGACAGGTGAGTGGCATTCTTTAATTAAAGTGCAATGGCCCTGCCGCTGCAAATGAAAATCTGCATGTGAGACAGCATCAGCATAAATAGTGAGAGAGAGAGAGCTTTCCCTCAAGAGATTTACAAGCGAGGGAAATTCCCCTGAAGTTAGTCGACTGCTCCAAAAGTGTTCTTGTGTGGCTCATTAGGGCATCTTTAACTGGCAAGGAAACACCTCAAGGATGCACCTGAGTGCGGAGCAGTTTCGTTTCTGTCTGAGTGAAGAAAAGAAGCTTAAATATCTGCAGGCGCATTATGAGCACGCACCCCACTTGCTCCAGTACGGGTACCGATACCTAATTAGCATGAAACCAACATCGGTGATGGCTTCAACGGGGAGCAGGAGCAGCAGCAGCAGCAGACGCTAATTGAATTGACCATGACCTCAGAGGGGTCAAGACCTCAAACAACTTGATATGCTTTGATATTACAATTGAGCAATTTCTCACCTGTTTGGGCCGCACACCGCCACACCGCCCAACCACAGAGCCGGAACAATGCCTAATGACTTAATGAACAGCCAGACGGGGAAGAGCGACATAGTCGACAGTCAGCCAAGTGTTTGGACAAATAGGGTTTTGCGGGCAGAGAGTGGACAGCGGACTGTCAGGGATGTCAAGGATGTCTTTGCCTAAGACCTGTACCCGCCTGTACACGCCTGTACCGGGCCACAGCATTAACTTAATGCCTAGCCAAAGACATGACAAGCCAACGGAGTGGAGCCACCCGTGCTATCTGCTCTGCTTCTACTCCTGTTGCCTGCTGTCTCCTCTATTCTCGGCGATCTTGCGGTGGACAAGGCCAAACTACTAAAAGCACTTTGTGGAAAGTCCACCCACCCACCGACCCACCAGGCCAACGACGGACAACCGGTAACCCAACCACGGCAAACTACAGCATGCTGAAACAATGGAAACAATGGCCTTTTAGTGGCAACTACAGGACATAAAGGTGGGGGGCTTGGCCATAAACCTGAAAAAAAAAAAAACATAAGCAAATACAAATACCCGTAAAACCAAAGCAACAAACAATCCGCAGCCAAAGACGGGCACGGGGAATGCTAATGCCTCTTGAAGTTGTGCAATTTTCAAATAAATTAAATCCATCTTTAATTGAGCAGAGTAAACCAAGTGAAAGTTGAACACTGCACGCGCATCGAGAATATAAATATTCTCCATTTTTTGCTATATTTTTTCATGTGTGTATTCACCAGGTTATTTGCCCTTTGGACTGCCATGAGCCGCCTCTACCAGCAGCAAAGTTCGCGTTACGAGTAATGAGCATGTCCTTGAAACACAATATATCTGAATAATTTATCTCTATGCGGTTGGGCTCCGCATTAGTCCTGGAGACCTTGAACCCACACACACACGGGGGTAAAGTCATGGCGACACCTTCAAGAGCTCTCCTCCAAATATGTACAATATTCTGTAATGGAGAGGCTTGAAATTTATGCTGAAATTGGACTGAACAGATTGATGGATGTGTAGATTGGTATGTTGAAAATCTAAACATAAAATAAATGACTAAAGAGTCCCAGGAGAAAGTCATGCAACACGATGCTAAAAATAAAGTAAGTACTCGTATGATTGACTTCTTTTATGGCTCAGGATATCAACTTTAGGGATGTTTAGATATCTAATACCAGATAACAGAAACAGAATCCACACGAATACTTCAAGCTAACAATATATTTCTATTGCTGAATTAATCTCCCACTTACATTCATCTAAGCAAATACAACATACCCTTGCTCTCTATGGGTACCCTGTATGAGAGTTCAGCTCGTAAATCATTCAAGCGGCAAAACTTGTGCTTTATGTTGACTGCGGGAGCGGTGGGAATTACGTGTATGGGAAAAGATTTCAGACTTTGTCAAAGTAAAAGGTCACGACGAGTTTAAGAGAGTCCAAAATAAAAAAAAAATTTTATGAAGAAGACCACAGACTGAACAGATTTAAGACTTAATTTGCCGATTCCTTTCTAAGAAAAACCTCTTAAAATATGCAAACTTAAGCGGAGAAACCTTTCCCAAGAGTTGACAGGTAACACTTTATTTCCAGCTTCTTTTCATGTCAATTATCAGCTGAAATGCTCAACAATCGATTGCTACACCCAATACGCCAAATGGAAAATGAAATATTGCTTGGCGGTTCGGTTTTGTGTGTTTGTGAAATATTGACAAGCGTTGAGAAGCCTTATAAAAATTGATTTCTTTCTTTTGGCTGGTTCTTTTTTGTTTCTTGGCACTTTTTCAAGTTTTCCCCTTTGGGCGCTCTTCCAGCAGGAGCAGAAACAGCCGCAGCCAGTGCGGCTCATTGAAATGGGTGATAATTCACCATTGATTGCACTTTGTCGCCAAAGTTTTGTGTGTGTTGCTGACAACTTTGGCCAATTGCAGTTTGGCCTCTCATTCACCTCTGCCTCCGGCTCTCCTACTGCTGCCCAAAGCACTTCTTTTTGCCCCCACAGCAATTTGATTACTTTCATATTATATCCATCCCTTGTTTTCCTTTTCATGATCTCTTTTGTTAGCCCTGGGCTCTGCCCTATCAAAGCTGCTGGCTAGAAAAAGCAATTAGTTGAGATTTACCCTTTTTCAGGCTTACATTCGACAAGCCGAACAACAGATTGTGGGTAAATGAGAGAGTGAGAGTAGAAGATAGGGACACAAGAATGGAGAGAGAAAGATTGAAGCTGGATTTTCCTCGCTGGGCCACTAAATCATCTTAAAGATCCTGAATTCAGCGTGGTGGCGGAGTAGCTGAGAGTGAAGCGTTGTCACTTGCACTTGGCAACTTCATCAATTTCCCCTTAAGCCCCTGCCAAACTTAACGATACCGACGCATCCTTCTCGACGACTGGCAGCGGCAACGGGGCGGATACGTAACTTTGCGATGTGGCAAAGTTTTCTGTGTTGTTCGCTGATGCCATTATTTGACCTGCTTGCATACAATTTCAAACCGCACTCACATACACTACTGCTGGCACTACTATACCCTCTCTGGGGCGGCCTCAAGGCGGCCAGGCATTCGTGCATGGGGAGCACTTGAATTGCAATGCACCAATTACGAGGAGAATGCTGCTGCTGCTGCCGTTGCAGCTTCTGGGCCGCTTCTTGGCACCGAAGCATAACTAATCTTTTGAGATTTCCAATTAAAAGTAAAACAAGCAGCCCAACAACGACCTCTCCTACAACGCCAGACCGACTTGCAAAGATGTTGCAGCCGCCCCAAAGACGATGCCTCCGGAGCATCCAGTGGGGGGTAAAAAAAAAGTGTTTTTCATACATTTTACGTGCAAAGTGTCTGAATTAACAAGGACGACAAAGTAGGGGCTGGAAGGAGGCACGGTAGAAGCGGAGAAAGGCAACTTTATAATTATGTTAAGCATGTTTCGCTCAGTGTTGCAGCAATCTTACAATGTTGCAGCTTATTTTCGCTGTTCTGCCCTGTGCCTGTGCACCAGGAGGCACGTCAAAGATGCAGCGTAGTCCATTTAATAGGCAGGCGTCTCGGATGCCTTGGGACTTTGGGACAGGCCTAATACACACCCACATACCCAACGTACTTGTGCATTATATTACACGCAGGAGGGATGTGGGCCTAAAGCCGACTTTGCACTTTGCACTTTGGCTTTTGGGCTTTAAGTTTTTTAGGATCTAGCCACTCTCTCTCTCTCTCTCTGCTTGATATATGAAAATTACTTTTACGTCAGTCATATGCAATCGGGCGCCCGGTGCGTATGAGTTACTTAATTAGAAAACTTTCCCATAGCTGACATGTACACATGTACACATACAGACATGCAGACACCCACACATAAAACCACACCGGATACGCTCGTGCACAAAGGCTGAGCAGGGAGTGGCCACATCAAAGACAAGGCACTGCATCAGGCAGCCATTTGTGCCCTTTGGGCTCTTGGAAGTGGCCATGAATTGGCCGTCTGCTCCGCTTGGCCTGAGCTACAGCAAGAGCTCATTCCCTTTGAGGATAATTGAGTTTTTTTAACTTTTGCACCGATGGCCATCGCTGAAAAAGACCTGGTGGGCCGCTGTGCAATATATATGTATATTCTTTTGACATTTAATACTCCATCTCAGTTCTGTGAGTTCTGAATGAACAACTAATATGAATTAATATTAAAGTGAAATTAATTTCACCTTAATCCCCAATTTAACGTTTAACTTTAATTTTTTTTTGGAAATTCAGCTTTCAAATAGAC